TATTAACTAGGAAGAAAAGTTTCAATATAGAAAGAACTATGGAGTGGATCCAATGTTTTTATTTGAAGAGTGCAATGGTATGTGGATATGCAAATATTTAGTATTTACCTCAAATTTGTACACATGAGGGGATTATAATTAATTATATGCTTATTTCTTTGTCATCAAAATGACTTGTTATATTAAGCAGAATCATATATCTTTTTTAAAATTACAAACGAAGTATATGAAAAAAAATCCAAACCAAACAAACAAACAAAAGGAAAAAACGAAGTTTATGTAGAATGCAAAGTATAAGAGAATAGTCACGGGCCAACCCTGCATCTTACATCCTCCACTTATGAGCTGTACATTCTAGGGCTATTTACTGTAATGCCTGATAACTCTTTTTTCTGAGTTAAATAATTAATACCGCATATGTTTACTTTGAGGACAAGGTGAGTTGAAACAGAATCATCAAAAAATGTCCTACACTATAGCAAGTATTTAAAAAGCACTGCCTCTTAGAGAATATGAGTAATAAATAAAAATCATAGCATTGATGCTATTCAGGAAAGAGACCTGGAACACTTAAAGCCACAAACAGTGATTCAAGCAGCAAGGTTTCTCATGTCTTTTTGGTAGCATGGAATGCCAAGTCATACACAATAGTTCTGCCTTCAGGATCCTAATTTTCAGAGTAAAGAGATTAAAGATTTCAGATGCTTCACATAACATTTTAATAAATTCAGTAGCATTATGAAAGTATTTTATGTTCATAATATAATTAGAAATATGAGAATAAGAACTTACAGATACTTGACAGGGTGAATAAGTGTCATGAAGCAAAATGAATAAATGGAAAGGGGCATGGAAAGACAAATAGAAGCAGAAGCAAAGGGCAAGGGGGAGGTGAAAACAGTTCTGAAAGCATGCAGGTATTCTGCCATGTGTTCAGATCCTACCATGAGCATTTTCAGGAGATGAGAAACAGAAATCTACTTGGTTCTTAGTTCATTACTACTGCTCATGAACATAGTTCTAAATAGTGCTTACCTTTATAAATGAAACCAATTATCAGGTCTAGGAGGTACATACCAGTGTTCATCTATACATTCACCTTTTCTCTTTACTGATAAAGGGGTTGTAATTTTTAACCCATCTTATAAAATAGAAGCACAAGTTACATTTTCCTTATGCTTATTTATGGGAAAAATGTAAGCTCTAAGTTTGTTTCTAAGCTTATTTATATATTTACATTAACCTCTGTGGATAGTGGATAGACAAGTCTATAACTTCAAATTGTTCTTTTTAATAGTTTTATTTCCCTCTCATTTAAAAAATAGTCATAATATTTTTTTTCACTTTGGTATATGTCAAAGCTTGATTTTCTTACATAAATAGTCACTGGCAGATTTAGAAAATACAGTAAAGATTGTATGTCTCAAAAGTGTCCATTATAAGTTTATATTAGAGATAGATTCTGGTAGGAGTTTTGATATTGAGAAAACTAATATAAAAGATGACATTTTTAAAATAAACCAATTAATCCTGGAGGAGAGTGCATATGCATCAAATTGAAATGATTAACAATTGCTGGACAATGTTGACACTATTGCAAAAATCACAGATATTCACACACTATTATTAAAATAATTTCAAACTTTTTTTATCATCAACTTGAATGTACTTCTCCTTATTGATGTCTATAGCTGAGTTGATATGTATTTTCCACTTTGAACAAGTGCTAAAGGAGTCGAAATTTGAAAGGACTTAGAAAATATCAAACTAAATGAAATGGCATGTGAAAACTATTCATCTCCAAGTTATATGTTTGGCAGCTTATAAGATGGTAGGATGCTGTATGTGTGTCTTTCTTGTGTCTGAATATCGAGAGAGAGAGTGGGAGAGAGAGAGAGAGAGAGAGAGAGAGAGAGAGAGAGAGGAAGAGCGA